TGTGAGTTCAAGGCCACACTGGAAACAGCCAGGCATGGTGACTCATGCCTTTAATCCCAGGAAGTGAGCCTTTAATCCCAGGAAGTGATGGCAGAAAGCAGAAAGGTATATAAAGCGTGGAAACCAGGAACTAGCCTGGTTAAGCTTTTAGGCTTTTAGCAGCCATTCAGCTGAGATTCATTCTGGATGAGGACTGAGAGGCATCCAGTCTGAGGAAATAGGATCAGCTGAGGAATTGGCAAGGTGAGGTAGCTGTGGCTTGTTCTGCTTCTCTGATCTTCCAGCATTCACCCCAATACCTGGCTCCAGATTTGTTTTTATTAATAAGAACTTTTAAGATTCGTGCAACAGTGCCCAAATCTAACTTACCATTCTGTGTTCACCTCTCACCAACTTCAGGCCACCCGCTGCTCATCCTTTCTAAATCTCCAGCGTCCCATCTAGAAGCAGAGAGTACTAACCCACCCACCACAGTGGTGGGGTTGCTGAGAGAACTAAATGAGATAAGCCAGACCTGGTGGTCCAGGCCTAGAATCCCAGCTACTCAGGAGGTGGCAGCAGGGGGCTCTTAGTAAGCTCAGGGCTTGCCTGGGCTACAGAGTGAGTTCGAGGTTAGCCTAGAAACTTAGTACTCTTCTCTATCAGAAAAAAAGTAAAAGGAGGATGGAGAGGCAGCTCCTGGGTCCTACAAAAAGTTAAATGGAATAAAACCTAAAGCATGGCTGGGTCCGCGTTTGCACATGACCTGCAGCTCTACTGAGGATGTGGTAACAAACGAGGTATAGCTCAGAGAACACTTGGGCTGATTAGCCATCACCAAGCTCTTAGTTACCGAAAGAGAACTTCCACAAGACCCCGCTCCAAGAGGAGATTTGGCCTACAGCACACAGACCTGAAGCTCTAGGGACCACATGTGGCTGTGTGTTTCTAACTCTACTGCTGTTTCTGGTGGGGGTGCCCCTGAAGAAGAGGTGTGGTGGAAAGGGGGGGCTGGAGAAATGCAGGGTGTGGCGGTACTGATGGAGAGGGCACATCCCTGTAAGCAGGCAATAAGACTCACCACGAAGCCTTGGTCAGAGGCTCTTTCCCTGGGCCTTGGGTCTGCCTCACCTTTCATGGAGGGTGTGTGAACCAACTCTCAGGTACACTGTTTTCCCAGGAATGAAGACATTTAAAGACACAGGCTCACAGGGAAAAAAATCCAGTGTCTTCCTCAAACCCAACACTCTCCAGGAGACCTCCCAGTCCTTCTCCCAATAGGTCTGCCGTCTATTCCTCACTCCAGTACTGAAAGGACATCTTGTCTACCACAAGGCTACCCGACACACTCTCTCCGTTCATCCAGCTTTACTAACCTTTGTAACACGTGTTGATGATGTCACTTGACCGCTCTTTGTTTATAATATTGTCTTTTACCACTTGTCAGCTGCTGTAGGAGAGATCTATATCTTCCCTCCCTGGTAAGAATCATCCCCAAAATGATTTCTAATTTAGAGAATAGGCTCACTAAATAGAGGCTGAGTGAAAAGAAAAAAATGAATGGATAAAGGAAGAAATTTACAAACTCAATGTGTTTTGTATTTTTGTTTTGTTTTGGTTTTGGTTTTGGTTTTTGGTTTTTCAAGACAGGGTTTCTCTGTGTAGCTTTGGAGCCTTTCCTGGATCTTGTTCCGTAGACCAGGCTGGCCTCGAACTCACAAAGATCCGCCTGCCTCTGCCTCCCAAGTGCTGGGATTAAAGGTGTGCGCCACCACCACCCGGCCTCAATGTGTGTTCTAGTGAGCTCTAAAAATTTTCTTTTTAGATTTAGTTATTTTGTGTGCACGAGTGTTTTGCCTGTATGAATGTACACCATGCGCCTGCCTGGTGCCTGCAGAAGTCAGAAGAGGGCATCAGATCTCCTGGAACTGGAGTTACAGACAGTTGTGAGCAACCATGTGGATGCTGGGAATTGAATCTGAGTCCTCTGCAAGAGCAACAAGTGCTTTTAAGCTCTGAGCCAACTCCAACCAACCAGGTTTTAATTGTCAACTTGACACAGCCTAGAGAGTCACCTGAGAAAGGAGTCTTAATTGAGGGATTGCCTAGACCATGGCCTGAGAGCATGCCTGTTGGGGGTTGACTTGCTAATTGGTGTTAGAGATCCCAGCCCACTATGGGTGCCATCATTCCCTGGGCCTGTGCTCCTGGGCTGTGTAAGGAAGCTAGCTGAGCATGAAGCTGAACGAGCCAGCAAACAGCATTCCTCAGGATTTCTGCTTCAAATTCCTGCTTGAGTTCCTGCCCTGACTTCCGTCAATGATAGACTGTGATCTGTAAGAGTAAGACAAATAAACCCTGCTTTTGGTCAGAGTGTTTTATCACAGCCACAGAACAAAACTAGGACAGCACGTCAGAAGTAAATAGTTTAATTTGAAACATTGTTATTACTTAACTGTATGTTTGGAGGAAAGCTTATGGAGATCACTTCGTTAAAATAAATCTTCTTTGCTCTATTCATAATAACCCAAGCTCAGAAACTACTCAGGTGTTCATCAGTAGGAATATGGTCAAGTTGTTGTGTGTCTATATACAACATACTAACAGACACTCAGCAACAGAAAGGCATGAATTATAAAACCTGAATAGACTCCAAACACAGCATGCTGAGAGAGGGGTCCAGGGATGAGTGCACAATTCCTATTTCCATTCATCACATGGCATTCTAGAGCAGCCAAAGCTAATCTAGGGTTGTTTTTTTTTTTTTTTAAAGAAAAGCAATGTTTGCATATACCCATAAGAAAGATGAAAGCTTCCAATTTCAGGAAGCTGGAGCAGATATTCATGTCCCTCCCTCCTGCTGAGCATCGCTAGGAAATCTGGATATTATTATGTAGGGAAAATACAAAAGGCTCTGGAAGGAGGAGAGAAGACAGACTAGCAACCTCCGGACCAGAGGAACACAGTGGCAGAGAGTTCTCTCTGTTCATTTGTCTCATATGGCATAGACGTAGAGCTGAAGAATGTGAATACCAGCAGACCGCCAGTCCAAACCTACTCTCTCTAAGACCCTAGGAAGGGGTGGCCTAGAAGACAGAGTCTTAGGCAATAGTGTTCTACTCCAGGCTCCACTCCAGAAACACACCCCACAAGCCCAGCCCATGGTAAACGCTAAGCGGGGGACCCAGCTTTTCACTGTCACCAGGGGAACTTCTCTGCTCACCCACCCCTCTCCAGGGTGGTACTGAAGAAGACTGAATAGAGGGCTGAGACCTTTCATCCGTGTCCAAGGGTAACAGGTTTCCCTGGTGTCAGGTGGACAGCATCAGGAGCCTAGACTTCTACCCACCAGGAATAAGGAGACTGTCTCTTTAGATGCCAGCAGAAGCTGGAATAGAACCTGGGCTTCCACCTACCTGGCTCTAATGAGCTGGTCCCCCCTTCCCAACCTCCCCTACGTGAGCTCTGTGCGCCACCACACTCAGCTCCATGTGACAAAAATTTAAAACGTCCATCATAAGTGAATGGAGCTCCGAGGACCTGTGGGGATAGAACCAAAGCCTGCCTCTTAGGGCACGGAGAGGGTTCTGAAAGAAGGGGGAGGGGCAGAATAAAAATACACAATGAAATATTGTCTCAAGTGTCCCCAAATTTAATAAGAAGACATTAGTTTACAGATCCAAAAATCTAGGCAACCAACTCATTTACAATAGTATCAAAAAATATAAAATATGGGCCAGTGAGATGGCCCATGAGATGACTGTGACATGGCCGTGAGTAAGGACACTTACTGCCAAGTCTGGCAATCTGAGTTCCATTTCTGGGGCCCAACCCACAGTGGAGACCCAACCAACCACACACACACACACACACACACACACACACACACACACGCACACGCACACGCGCGCGCACACACTGAATGTAATTTTTGAAAATAGAAAAAAGGAGAAATATTTAGGGCAAATGTGACAAAAGATGAAGACTGACGTGTATTGACAACCACAATGAGATGCCACAATGTACCCACGGGCTGGGGACAAACCAAAGCCAGCATCTAGACTAAGGGGACCCAGAGCAGAGGAACTTTTCTCCAAACCAAGGGGGTTCAGAACTAACAAAACCCCACTGTTCCCCTTTCCCAGGTCCCTCTCCACTGAGCCTGTGGGATGTCAGTTGTCAACTGCTGCCTCCAGCAAGAGCAAGCGATGCTCTCTGGAGAGCAGGAGAGGCTCCGGTTTAGAAATATCTACTGGACCATCCGCTGCTCAGTGCTCTGGGCTTCCTTTCCTCCTTTCGGCCGCTGGGAAGGGTGCACAATGCCTAATTGAAAGAGAGCTAGGAAACACCAGGCCCACACCATCAGCCATCTACTCCGAGAATCCTCAGAGGACCACACCTCTGACTACAGGCAGGGTCGGGTCGGGTGAGGCTAAATAGGATGCTGTGTCAGTGAGAAGCCAATACTCTGTGTCAGGAACCCTGAAGTTTTGTGTCTTTGGAGGCAACAGGGCTATGTATACATCCTCCAGGTGGGACAGTAGGGGAAGAGAGTCCCTAAAAAGTACTCTGCACCTTAACTGCGCAGGTTCCCATGGGAGACCCTGAACACCCAAGCCTATGTGAACTTTCTTTTTTTTAATTATTGTTATTATTATTATTTTAATTTGGAGCATCAGTTCATAAACAGAGCTGTTGGCCTAGAAGCCCTGTGTAAGCCCAGAGCTCCACTACATCAATTAGTGTTTTTAGCTTTGACTGGCTGGGATTCTAGCTAACAGACCAGGATGCAGGCTCATGGTGGCCTTGGCGAGCACATGGATCTACTCCAGAAGGGGCTAAACTGATTCAAGACACCTAGTTCAGCTACCTACAGAAGGTCAGTTCTCACTCTCCTCAAAGTTTACTTAAAATTAGAGAGAGGGGGAAGGAGAGAGAGAGAGAGAGAGAGAGAGAGAGAGAGAGAGAGAGAGAAGAAGGAGGAGGAGGAGGAGGAGGAGGAGGAGGAGGAGGAGGAGGAGGAGGAGGAGGAAGAGGAGAATGAAAAGAAAGACTCCAAAGATAGAAGTGTCCCCGGGGAGGAATATTACTAAAGATTCACAAATGGAACAATTTTCTAATAACAAAGTAAACATTATTAAATTGTCCTTGAAAGGTGGCAAATTGGTAGGAGAGTATTTTGTTATCCTTTTCAATGAACCTTGGCTGGAGGTGTGCAATAAAATGCACCCTGTGGGGGCTGGAGAGATGGCTTAGCAAGTAAGAGCACTGGCTACTCTTCCAGAGGACCTGGGTTCAAGTCCCAGCACTCACACGGCAGCTCACAACTGTCTGTAACTCCTGTTCCAAGGGATCCTATACCCTTACACAGATATACATGAAGGCAAAACACCAAAGCACATAAAATACAAATAAATAAATTTAAATGCACCCTGTAATAATATGTTATTTATTTCTGTGGCCTATCTCCCTGCCTACTTGCCTGGCTGGCTTTTCCTTCAGACCTGCAGGTGTTATCCATGCCCTTCCTCTGCTCTGTCTTCTCCGGACAGGGCCCAGAAAAAGGGAGATAGACCTTCCTCCCATGCCTGGGTGTTGGGACTCAGCCGTGCTGTGGGATATAAGTGGTGCATACTGGCCTGGAAGTCTCCTTCTGGGGATGAGAAAGGTGTTGAATGCTGCTGATCTGGGGGTCCCTTTCTCTCTTGCCCCTCACTTTGCTTGGCTATGAAATTAAAGATAGGGTTCAATATTTGTGAGTCATGTTTTAGCTGGGTTTTTAGTTTTCAAAATTGGTGTGTTGTAACACGTAAAAGTGACCATTTATTTGGGGGATGTGGGTACCAGGGTGTTTGTTTATTTTTTTCCATCTTGAAGATCTGCTGTCCCATCCAAAGAAAAGGCCCGTATGACACCTGGTCCCTGCCCACCGGTGGGAGTGAGAAGGGCGACTAGCTTTGTGGTGCTTCTTGCTCCCTTCGCTGTAGAAATCATCCAGAACCCACGATAAGGGCCTCCCCTCTTTGTTCAGAGCAGCTGCTGTTCGCCCAGTCCTTAGGTTTGCTGGTGGGGTGGGAGTCTCCTGGGTGAAGGCAGGTGAGTCCAGAATGACGTCACTTCCTGCCCCTGCAACCGTCCCACCTGCACCGAACAGAAAAGGACACCTGTGAGTAGAGAAACCACTCTCCGCTGCCCTTAAAAGTGAACCTGGTGAAGCAAACTCCACACTGGTCTCAGGTTTGACAAGAATGTATCACTAGAGAAAACCCACGGGGACATGGCCGCTCCTCACTTAAAAACAGCCAGGCTAAACTAAGTAACAACAACAACAACAACTGTTTCCCACACCGCTTGCCCAGCTCCTACCCCCAGGGTTCAGCCTGAGCCAGTTTCCATGCTTGAGTTATTAGCTTATGAAAATAGGCACAAAAGGGGGGAAACGCACGGACCCCCGGCTGCATTACTGCTCATCGCCATGGCTGAGTGGGTTCCAGCACAAAGGCGTGTTATCCTGCCTGCCACTTCTCAGTTGTGAACAAAATGCAGCTCGCTAATGGGTTCTGCCTCATCTACCTTTCTGTAATCATTATGTGGCCATTCTCTGTAATTTATCCTGTTTTTTTTTTTTTTTTTCACAAAGAATGTGTGCTTTACTCAGGCACACACATGTCTTGTAAGTCCCCTTCATTTGTGGCTGGAAAGAAAGGTCACGAAGCTGCCAGTCACTTGGGGTAATGCACCCATTATGCTGATCTTGGCAATATTTGGAAATAGTAATGGATGGCCGTGAATAGATTCTCAAAACCTGGTGAACTGGGACAGCGATGTAAGTGATAAAGGGGATCTAGAAGCAGTCAAGAGAAGACGGAATGAGGGGGAGTTTTCCACCCATCCCAGACTGGCCTCTGCTTGGGTATCATGATGGACCACATCTCCCCGAGCCAGTTGGAGACACCTGCTCATGGGCTCAATGGTTTCAAGTTCCCTACTTGATCTCCTCTACCACCAGCTTTAGCCTACATTTCGGCGGTTTCTGACTTGTGCTCAGAAGTGCTACTTCAGGGCTGGAGGATGGTTCAGTGGATAAAGTCCTTGCTACTCAAGCATAATAATCTGACTGCAGATCTCCAGAATCCCCACGAAAAGCCAGGTGTTGCCATGGAAGGAACCCAATGCTGAACTCTGGACCTTATAGGTGCATAGATAAGTGCATGCAAGCACTGGCATACATATACCATGTGTACATGAATGCACACACACACTTTTTTTTCCCCTGAGACAGGGTTTCTGTGTATAGCCCTGGCTGTCCTGGAACTCAGAGATCCACCTGCTTCTGCCTTCTGACTGCATGTACCACCACACCCAGCCACAAACTTCTGTTTGAAAGAAGACCTATCCTATGCTAGCATGAGCCAAGTGTATAAAGGAATTGAGTGGCATCATGCTTCTGGAAACTCCAAAACTGATTGTAGAAATCAAGGCCTGTCAATGTTTATTTTGGGGGGGGAGGGGAGCAGCCAGAATCGCCAGTGAAGAACACATTAGGCAAAAACTTGAGACTAACGACACTGGGAAAGCTGGGCCACACGGAAGGTTTCCCAAAACCAAGTCTGATGCGCTAAGCCACTGGTGACACGGGCTGGTTGGGCACCTCGCAAGCTGGTAGGTACCCTTAGAGCAGCCAGAGAGGAGCCAGCGAAGCCCCCTCCCTCCATCAGGACAGCGGAATTCTCCACCAGATTCTTTCCCAGCCAGCTCCGCAGCTATCTGGAGGTTGGTATAAGAGCAAGCGTGTCCTTTCATCTTCCCGGAAGTGCTAATGAATGCTTTGAGTTTTGTTCTTTCCCCCTCATTAAGACAAATGAGTTCTCTTCTGCCCTCAGGAAGCACTCTCCTTCCTGCCCTGCAGCTCTCAAAGCTCTCTCTAAGGGACCCTGTCTTGTCAGGTGGCCTAAGGGCCTACCTTACCTAGTTCAGACTCAGCCTCAGGGCCTCTCCGTACTGCTCATGGCTCTTGGAACCCATGGCCCACTGCCCTGGGACCCACCAACATGTTTGAGGTTCTCTCAACTCTGGAAGTCCTGGCAGGCACTACAAAACACAAGCACATTTCATTTCCATGCCAGTGTCCTGGAGAGGCTGCCAGCTTCGATAGAATTTAGGAAGACAGCACCCCCAAAGGATCTTTAGAGACTGTGCAGCCAAACCCTGTTCACCTTAACTTTGAGTCAAAATCTCTCACTGGCCTTGAACTCACCAAGGGAGCGACAGGGATCTGCCTGTGTCTGCCTCCCCAGAACCCGGCCTTTATCTAGGTGGGTGCTCATGTGACAAGTACTTTAGCTCCCCAGCCCTGAAACAAAGCAAAGTGATGTGTGTAGACCCACATTGTCAGGGTAGTGGACTAAGGCTGGAAACAGTGTCCCTTCACTCTGCTGGCCCACTGTCCACACCATCCCTACCTAAGGCCTCCATTTCCCCTTCCCAGTGCTAGCGCAGAGCCACCAGATGCCACTGACCAGAGGACAACATGAACTCTGCTTTACCCAGAGTCCGCTGAAGGTAGAAAACAGGGCCCTCATGCAGCTGCAAGAGAATGGCAGGCCCCTGGAACACAGCTCTGTGCTCCAGAGTCACAGTGACCAGTGAGGACACATCACAGACGGCCCGATATGCCTGCAAGACCTAGGAGGTTGCTAAACTGTCAGAGGAGAAGAGTGAGGGTCACCTGAGGACAGTTCTTGGGGATTCAAACCTGAGCAAGCATAACCCACCTTTCCTCACCCCACTTGAGTTATGACCAATGTGAGCACCAGGCCACACCTTACTCAACCATCTCTAAGTGATGGTGGATATAACCAGCTTGACAGCTAGAGCCCCCTGAGAGACAAGCCTCTGCATGATGCCGGTGAGGGATTCTCACTGAGGTGCGAAGATGCCCCTTAACTGTAGGGAGCCCCCTGCCATGGGCTGGGGGCTTGAGTTGAATAACAGAAAGAAGACAAGCTGAGCATCAGCACTCATCACCCTCAGCTTCCTGAGTGAGTATGCAATGTGACCAGTCACTTCAAGCTCCTTCAGCCAGCCCTTCCCCCCCCAGAATGGACTGTACCCTCAAACTGTAAGCAAAAACAAAAACAAAAATAAAGCCCACCCTCCCTTAAATTACTGCTTGTCACGTGTTTGGCCCTAACAGCCAGAAAAGTCAGTAATGCTGGTGGCTATATTGATGAGTTCCTTTCTTCAGCTGTAATCTGATCATGTTTAGCTGGTTCCAGATAAACAGATCTAAGTGTATTTTCAGCAGACATCTCTGGAGTGTTAGCTACCTTCCCACCACTGTGCAACACAGTCTCCAGGCTTCTACTTCACTTGCAAAATGGAGACTCTCTAGCCAATGAGCAGAACCTGTCCACTCCCCTCCTCTCAGCCCCTGACAGCTGCCACTCTACATCTCCACAGGAATTTAACTGCTCTAAGTACTACTTCATGTAAGTAGAGTCAGACGGTATGTTCTTTCACGTGTAGCTAATTTTCATTAACTGCATCTGGACTCAACTAAAACCCCAGCTGCTGGGCACTCCTGTGTGGCGAAGAACTTTCTCAAGCCTCGGGTCAGAGGATCTGTAGTTCTCGGCGGAAGGCTGGCACAGGTGCAGGAGACTAGAGTGTTTGGCTCGCCACCACCACCCCATCCCACCACCAGCCAACACCGTCCACCAAACATCTCCTCTGTTCTCATGGTCTCATGCGCCAGATTGCTATTTGGAAACCATTGGCAAACTCAGGCTGCACAGAACCCAGAAATGTGTGATACCCACTTCAATAGTTATGTTTTTTTAATTCTTTCCCTCTTCAAGGAAGGGGAGAGAGAGCTAAGACTGTTGATGGAAAAACACACTTCCATGGATCAGCACTGGGTAGCCATGTGCACATCTGTTCTTAACAGGTTTCAGCTGAAAATATACCTAGATCTGTTTATATGGAACCAGCTAACCATGATAAGATTACAACTTGGAGCTAACATGGAGTTAGGAGCGGGGGGAGGGAGGGGAAGGAAAAACCCATCCACACTCCGTCTGTGTATTCGCTCCTCACACTTTACCACAGACGCGTTGACTGGGCCGGATTTGCTGAGAATTTGAAAAGCCAGAATGGCTCAAGATTAGTTACAGACAAACTCAAGATGTTCCCACAGCCTTTCTGCAGCACAGCCTCCCGCTCACCTCCCGTGTGAGCCTGAAAAGAGACTGCACCTGGGAAGTCACTTGAATTTGAGGAGTTCTGGCCCAGGAGAGAGACAGTGTGCTAGCTACTCACATGGAGAGCACACAGCACACCTTAAGAAACGACTCAAAAAAAAAAAAAAATGGGGGAGAAAGATTTCCTTTGAGTCAAGGTTACAGCTAGCTCATAATTGACTTGCTCTGTTGGTTGTTAAGTCTGTGGTGAGAGCATCACGTGGTAGTGGGAGCATGTGGCTGACACCTCTTGGCAGACAGGAGGGAGAGGTGGGAGAGAGCAGGGAGTTCCCTTCGCTTCCCACTAACAGCATCAAAATTCTGTACCCATCAGAATTACACTCATGGATTAGGTCAGAACCCTCAATCATCCAATAACTTCTCAATGATTGGATCCACCAGCTGGGACCCAAGACTTTACCATGGAGACGTCTCGGGAAGACATTTCACATCCAAACCATTACAGACACCAAAGCCTCCCAGAGGAAGGGCAGGCATGTGCTAAGGCCTCTTTCTGCTGGCTCTGTGCTCTCTCAGGGAGGGGTCTTTTGACCTTGAACCTACAGCTTTGCTCCAAAGCCACACTGTCCTCAGCTCCAGCACAGAGCTGAGCAAACTGCCTGGGGTGATTTCTTAGAGTCCTGGTTCTCTAGGGGAAAGACTTTCCCTTCCACCAGACCATCCCTGGAGGTGAGGCCGAGATTTACATGCTCACAGGGCCCAGCAGAAACCGAAGGAATAAGGACTAGTGGACAGCTAATAATGGCTTCAGCAGGCTAACACTGGGGAGGAAATAGACCCCAGAGACCCAGCTTTTCTGAATTTTCTCAGGGATAGTAATCACTGGATTTTTACATGATGACTCCAGTATTGAAGGCAAATTAAAACCGTGGCCCTCCT